CTGTCTAACTCTGCCTGTCCAAAAAAAAAGAAAAGATGCTGATCCATTTTGAATTTATATTTTGTAAAGGGTATGAGGTGTGGGTTCAGCGTCATTCATTTTCATGTGGAGTCCTCCACTGATCAAAGCTGACACCCTCGTTAGAATCGGTTGGCTGTAGAAGGTGATTTTCTTTCTGCTGAGCCTCAGTTTTTTCTGTTGGTTTACCTGCCTGTCCTCAGCCGTAGCTTTTAGGTTACTGCAGCTTTGTCGTAAGTTTTGAAGTTGGGGAAGTGTGACTCCTCTGACTTCTTCTTCTCAAGGTGGTCTGGCTTTAGGGTGCCTTGGCATTCCAGGTGAGTATGGGGACCAGTTCGTTACTTCTGTAAAAAGGCTGCTGAGATTTTGTTACGGAGTAACTCTGCAGGTGTCTTTATGCAGTCTGTTTTAAGGTTCTATAATAAGAAAGAATGCTGCTTGTGATAGGACGAATGGTCCTTTCTGACAGTGGCAGTATGGAACAGAAAATGGTCACTCAACCTTGGAACAATCCTTCCTTGTTTGATATCTCTTAAAATCCTCAAGGGTGATAGATGTTTTTTAAATCATCCAAGTTTTTCTTTAATTGTATCATTTCTAAACTTTCGTAAGTCATTATTTTGGAAACTGAAGTGATATTAACTAACTTTCAGTTGCTGTTACTAAGACTGCATTAAATGTTCATTAAGTACCCCTGGTCTTTCAGATGCTCTTGGTTTTATTGTGGGAAACATGTAGCGAGATTCTATCATAGACTCAAACTATTTCCTATAAGAATCTGAGTAATGTTAAAAAAAAAAAAACTCCAAGCTTTTAAAAGTTTATTTTTATTTACTTGAAATGGAAAGAGAGCAAGAGCAAGAAAGAGCTTTCCTTTGCTGGTTTACTGCACAAATGCGCACAGCACCTGGGACTCCTGTGTGATGGCCAGTGCTAAGTGCTTGAGCCATCATCTGCTGCCTCTCAGCATGTGTCTTAGCAAGAAGCAGAAGCGGAAGCTCAGAGCCTGGACTCAAACCCAGCGCTCATCAGCACTGTCTAACCACTGCTGCAGGTGCCCACCGCGGATTTTGGTTTATTGATTCCTTTCTGGCATGTCCATCATTTTAAGTTTTGTCTTTATCATTTGGTTTACTGAGTAAGTGACTTTCTGTGCTGAGGCCTCCAAAACTTCTAGTTTTCATTTCTCACTTTTAACTAAAAGATGAGGACCTATTGTTAAATGTCATTAAACATTTGCATTTGATCGCTTTTTGTGATGAAATTTTTTTGTACACATGGAATCCTCTGTTTTGCCACACCCATAAAACTTTGTTTTTACTAGTTTTGTTTTGTGCTTTAGTATCTAAAAATGTGCCATTTGCAAACCTGCAAATTTTGCTCTACTTCTTTCTACTAAGTCATCCTAAAATATTTCAAAGATTTAATCTATGGGGAGCTTTGTCTCCTTTGTGTCTCCATCTGGCTGCCTGGTTTTCTTTACTCTCTATGCATATTTTGAAAAAACTGAAGTTTTTAAACAGTGCATTTGTATAGAGCTTGGTCAAAGATTTTTGGAATATTGGTGTATTAATCCATTTTCTGTAGCTTAAGGCTGAATACTTTATAATGGAAAGAAGTTTGTTTAGCTCAGAATTTGGGAGCCTGAAATTCCAAGATCAAGCAGCCACATCAGTTTGGCCTCTGGTGAGGGCCTGTGGCTGTAGACATCGTGGTGGTAGTTGTACCTGTAAGGCATCCAAAGGTGAGACAGGAAGCCAGAGAACAGGCAGGGGCCAGTTTTTCTCTTTTACAACAACCATCTCACAAGAATTATCCAGGTTCTCATAAGAACTACATTAATGTCCTTTTTGAAAAAAGATTTATTTATTTGGGTTACACAGAGAGAGGAGAGAGAGAGCGAGCACGCGAGCAAGTGAGAGGTCTTTTACCCGCTGGTTCACTCCCCAGTTGGCTGCAATGGCCAGAGCTGTGCCGATCTAAAGCCAGGAGCCAGGAGCTTCTTCCAGGTCTCCCATGCGGGTGCAGGGGCCCAAGGACTTGCGCCATCTTCTGCTGCTTTCCCAGGCCTTAGCAGAGAGCTGGATCGGAAGTGGAGCAGCTGGGACTCAAACTGGTGCCCTTATGGGATGCCAGCACTTCAGGCGGTGGCTTTACCCGCTTGGCCACAGGGCCTGCCCCAATTAATGCCTTCTGAGGCCACTGTTCGCAATGATCTAACACCTTGTGTGAAGCCCATCTCTTGCCAACATCATCACAACGAGGACCATGTTTCCAACACATGAACTATCTCCCACCCATAGCATTTTGTCATTAATTATGTGTTTTCACTTTGGCGTGTGTGTCTGTTGTTTCAAAGAATCAGTTAGGCAAGAGCCCAATGTGTTTTGTGGACTTAATGAGTTTCTGGCTCATGCTTTTTGCTGCTTTGACTAGTGGGTTTATAAGCTAAGGATAAGTCACCTCTGCAAGAGCCCAGAGGCCTGGTCGTTGGTCAGGCCTGGCACTGGCACGCATGACCTACAGTGTGGCTCTTTCCTCTGGGTTCCAGGCTGTGTTTGAAAACATAGCTTTTCGGACAAATGAAGTAATTGATTCTGCCTTGCTGCCTTTGTGAGTCGTTTGTGGCTGCAGAGTTTTGTCCAGTTCCGGTGCAGCTCACTTTCCAGTGTGCTCATGGAAAGGTTTCTCATAGCATAGCACGTTTTAGGGAATGTAAGCTCTTTATACCCAAAGTGATAGTGCTAATGCAATTGGAGGTGTGACTTCTTAGCCATAAATTTCTGTTGAACTAGTGACTAATTGTTAAGAGGATTTACAGACTAAATTCTGTGTTGGGAGTCGATAAAAATAGCTAGGCATAAAATAAATGACTACCAATAGTTTTTATATGTGAACATTAACTTATATATGTGAACATTAACATCTTTTTGTTACTAAAATTTGTGAAAATTTCAATCCTAGCGTGTTTCAGGTTTTTCTCAAGTATTTTATAACTCCTGTTGTATGTGTCTCATTTATGGTTTTGTTTTATTACATATAGTATGCTTAAAAAGAATAACCATTTGTTCATTATGTTTTTTTAAAACTTACTCAGGTCTGCCACAATGAAATAGGATCAGATTTAGAATCTCACAGTCATGGATTTTTAGATTTTAATGTTATTTAGAGATAAATCTTAAACATAAAATGTATTTTCACCTACTCATCTAACAGGGTTAAATAGATAATGATAGTTTGAAAGCTGCATGCATTTTACTAACAATTAGTGGTATATCTTTAAATTATAAGATTCTTTGGGGAAAAAGCTAAATTGCAGCCACAGATTCAGAAAAAAATTTCTGTGTGTATTGAAGAATTAGGGAATTTTAGTTGCAAACTAAAAAAAAAGATTTAAAAATTTGAATCATTTTACTTACACAAGAAACAAGGTGACTAAGAAGATACTTTTATATATTTTATTTAGCAACATGTTTTCTCCTTTAGCAAAGTCCTCATATGTATATGTTTACCTATCTGTGTATGCATTCTGTTCTTGATTGAATTAAAATGGATTTTTTTTTTTGGGTGGGGAAGAACTTACGTGATGACCTAATCTGATAGCCTTAATGTAAGTGAATGAAATTCGGCATGAGAAGTGTTCAGTGTGGTTTGCCAGAGATCACAAATGATGAGGAGACAAATGCTGACTGTCCTGTTCTCTTTGTTTTCCATGACTTTTTTCATCATTGTTTGATGCTTTGTGCATGAATGTTGTGTATCATTGTGAAATAAATAGGGTTATGAAAGAAACAAGAATTTCCATAGGAATCACTCAAAATGCCTAGTTAACTTGGGAGAAAAGATTGCTCAGTATATCACATTTCTTTCCCTGAGAGCTAAGTTTGCTAGAAAAGAGTACTTAAAATGTTAGTGTCGACTGGAGGAAAAGGCGAATTTTTCAAGTAGTGAATGAGAAAGGGATGAGATTGATGGAGCAAATTGGGCTGACCCAGCTTCCCAGGGATTCCCTGTCCTTGACCCTAGTTTTCATGTGTCTAGGCCAGAAAGAATCATTGTCCTCCAGTGTTGGGTGGAAGGCTGCCACTCATACAGCAGAGGGACAGTTTTCAGGAGTGGCTTTCTTTCTTTCTTTTTTAATATGCATATCCTCTTAAGTCACTTCGCAGTTAAGGAAAAACAGTCTTAATGAGCATCTTTTACTTAAAGAATTTAGAGTACAGTACAAAAAGTAGATACACCTTGTAGGTGAAAGAAATGTTTAAAGTGAGCAAATTCAGTTATAGAAGAGAATTATATGCCTTTTGTACTTTTTTGGATATTAAAAATTACTTCATTTTATTAGAGAGAGAGAGAGATCTTCCACCTGCTGGTCCCCCAGATGCCTGCAACAGCTAGGGCTGCGGCTGAAGGCAGGAGCCGGGGACACAGTCTGGGTCTCCCTGTAGACAGCAGGGGCCACAGTACTTGAGCTTCCAGCTGCTGTCTACCAGGGTGCCCACGGGCAGGCAGCTGGCTCTGAAGTGCAGTAGCCAGGACTCAAACCAGGCATTCTGATGTGGGATGCAGGTGCCCCCAGTGCCTCCTTAGAGCCACAACCCCCTCTCCTGAATGGGCTTTTAGTTTGCCCCTGAGACATTTCCCACCCAGCTTGGGGTTTTCTAGAAGCGTCACCTAACAGAATGATGGAAACCACAGCACAGCACACATTCATGCTAAATGTTCATGTTGCGCTCCCATTCTTAATTTGAAAGCACATTATGTTGTTCTGCAAAAAGAGAAAACTGAAACTGAAGCATTTGACTCCTCGGTGGTCATTCTCTGTAAATAGCAACTACGGGTACTTCTCTCTCCTCCGCGTGTGCTTCTTGTAATTGTCTGTAGTTCTCAGTTACCTGGAGGGTTGGCTTCACTTCACAGTCCGTATTCCTGCCGATCCCTGAGGTTGTCCTCACTGCCTGCTTCCTGTTCTTCCTTTGCAGTTTCGGCAAACGTTCTGCAGGGAGCTTTAGGCGTGGCTGCGAGTGCATTGTCTTAGAGCCTTCTGAAATGATTGTGGTAAGAATATTTCTCTGAGGACTGTTTGTTTTCCTAGCGCTTTCTAGGGAGTAAAGACATTTTCACAAGCTACTTGTCGTAAGGTATTGTACTCTTCCTAACATTAGGATAGGTATCTCATAACTTTTTATTGTGAATTTGAATCACAATCATACTATTATAATTACTTACAGGATTCAGTTAAAGGTTAAAGGAGGCAGACACCTAAAGGTTTGTTTTTAACTTTGTCATTCAATTTATGTTAACCACATTTAATTGAAATATGGAGAAAATTTTGAATCCTAGGTCTTTGTTGATTAGAATGAATGAGTTACTTAAATGAATCACAATGATATGTATTCAAGGACCTGTTAATGCCAAGGTTCCTATTTCCTTTAAGTAATTGAAAGAAAATTAGGGGACTACTATACTGATTAAACACTCTATTGACATCTCTGTATCTCTCTTTTAAGTGACACTGTGTATTTGAAAATATATTGACAGATTACATATCAAACATACTATTAAAATAGATATTAACAACTTAATTAATCTCACTGAAGCTCCAAAGAACAAAACCCCGTCTTCCTTAATTTATAAAAATTATTTAAGATAGGGTAATATGCTTTTTTTAAAAAAACATCAGTAACAAAATGAGGTGGGAGGGGGCTCCCAGTGCAGACATTTAATTGATATTGATATTCTTATTGTCCCCAGCCAGCACCCTGTCTGGCAGGGAGGAGCTTGTAAAGCATAACCAATAGAAATTAAGATGGAGGCTTTTCAATTTTTTTTTTCATTTTATTTGAAAGGCAGAAAGACAGAGACAAACACAGAGAGATCTGCCATCTGCTGGTTCACCCCTCAGATTCCTGGTACAGCCAGGGATGGGCCTGATGAGACTCCATCCGGGCTCTCACCTAGGTAGCAGGGACCCAAATACTTGGAGCCATCACTGCAGCCTCCCAGGGTGTAAGTCAACAGGAAGCGACATAGGAAGCAGAGCTGGGACTTGAAACATACCCTGTGATACAGAACGCAGGCATCCCCGCAGGGGCTTGACTGCTGGGCAAATACCTGCCCCTACTGGAATTTTTTTTATCAACACTTAACTTAAGTATTTCGTTACAACTCTAGGTCTGTTTTCAGAAAAGCCTTAGGGTTTTTCCATATGATGTAAGAGAGAGATCCCATCAGAGATGAGAAGTTCCTTGTCAAAACTGTTGCGAACTTTTGGTAAAATTTCAAGAAATGTACTCTTAGGTGAGAAAATGCATTGGTGGTGAGTCAAGATTTAGGACTGGGAAAAGCGTAGGCAGATGCGTAAGACTTTGTAAAGCATCGTAAACATGTCCTTGAGATTTTTGTCCTGTTAATGCCATTTTTTAAATTTCTCTGAAGAATTTTAAAAAACTTCCTTGAGTATTTAGTTATTTTTTTGATTTTATTTGAGGGAGAGGCCGATGGACCTTATTGCCAATAAGACTATTTAGTTTGCCTGTCTTCGAACAGACTTGCATGTGAACATGCCTCTGATGTGAGCAGTCATATTTTCAACATATAACTCTGATGAAGAACAACCTAGTACCACTTTTGTTCTCTGTCGATCCACTCTTCAGAGTTCCTGAAGTGTGGACTGATTTTTGTACAACATTCTAAAAAATAAAAGCTGAAGCCACAGAGAGCAAGCAGGAAGAGAAACGCTTAGGTAATCCAGCCAAGCCATTCTGCTGGCAATCCAGTTTGAGCCTTCTGGGATTTGGGGTTTTTTGAGATGTACTCATACATGTCAGATATTTTTGTGCTTTGGTTAAGACAATACAGAAGTTGCTTTCATTATGTGCAGTGATGTATCCTGTGAGATCTTTCGCTAATAAGCCAGTACAAAGACTACCGAAAATATCCTTCTCTTTGAAGCTGCAGGACATTCAAGAGTTACCCATAATGTCCTAAATGGAACAGAAAAATGCCTCTTCATAAATTAAAAGTTACTCAAAAGCATTTAGCTCCAGGGAAGCTCAAACACACTTGAGGTTTGTCTAGTTTGTCTACAAAAGTCTTTGCAAAATGAGTAGATATGAGCTATCTGTACGTTTCTTTCCATGTCTCATATGACTGTGGTATGAGAGCCTGAGGAAATGAAGTTGTTCCGGGCTTCCTTTCAGGTGGACTATATGGATGAAAATGAAGAGTACTTTCAACGACAAGCTTCCCACAGACAGTCTCGGAGGCGATTTAGGAAAATCAACCAGAAAGGGGAAAGGCAAACGATCATCGACACCGTGGATCCTTATCCTGTGGGCAAACCCCCTTTGCCGAGGGGCTACCACACGGTAAGTTTTCTGAGTAGAATTTTTATTTCACCTACTTTTTTGTTTCAAGTTTTGTGGAAAGACCTTTGGCTTTCCTATTTTTGGTTAATGATCCTTTTCTATGAGAGACATACTGTTCAAAGAGTAGATTCTGCACGAAGCACAGAATACCGCACTTGCATAAGATGTCACGAGACATTGTCTAGCTCATTGGTGACTTAGAATGTTCTTGGAAGCTCGGCTTTGTGATCCGTGTAATGCACTTGTATTTGATGTCTTTTACGTCATCTTTCCTGGATCTAAAATTTTAGCTAACTCCTGTGCGTTTCACCTCTTTGTCCATATGACTGGTATCATATCTATTTGTAATTTAAAAAGTAGACATGCAAAAAATAGATATTGTTTCTCATACAGTTGTGAGAATACTATCTGAAATTTAAAAAAGATTCAGTGAAAAGAGAGAATAATTTGAAATGATGCTCTTTAAATTATCAATTTGAAGATATCCTGAAATATTTCTAATAGGTTCATTCAGTTTTCCTCTTAAATGCAGTAATCCACGTGATTGTCATTTATCTAATAAATAATTTGATAAATAAGCTACTTTTTATGTTTGAGAAAGCCATGACCGGATAATGAGTGCTTTGTGTAAGACCTCAATAGAGTGACTTTAGAGCCTTGTTTTTTCTGACTGCTTGGTTCAAAGTAACTTGAATTCTTGAACATGTCATAGTAAGGTGAAAGAATTTATGCATATAGCACTGTTAAAGGGGCAATCATTATACATAAAATCAATTTAAAAAAAAAAGTAGGTAATAGATGACTGTTTTACATTTCTCAGTTTTTCTTGCTTGCCTTTTCTTTCTGCAAATTAGTATCAATGGCAAATGCATGGGAGAATGTTTATAGACTTAAATGTTTTTACTCAGTTTTTAGTTACTTTAAATAATATATTTTATCCCCACACTTCAAATATTCCATTTCTGAGAACTCTTTGTATTTACATATTTAATGTGGTTTTGACCACCAGCAACCCGCCTACTCCTCTCACTACCCATGCACTATTTTAATTTAGCATGAATTTCATAGTTGAATCATTTCATTGAGCTCATGTGGAAGGGTTGCTTTTTGCTCATCACAAAGACAGCTTTGTCTGTCTGTTGGAGAGACTTGGTATTTAAAAAAAAAAGAAACAACTCATGAAAGGTTTTTTGTTAGCAGTGTCCATGAGGAAGGTAATATTTTTAGTGTTGATGCAGACTCATGGAGAAAGGAAATACATATTAGAAATAGTGGTGCATATTAGGAGTGTAACCTTGATTATAATATTCTAGCCCAGTAGGGATAGTATTAGTATTCTTTCTGCTTTGCTTTTCCAAATTAGTTTCTGAACTAAGAAGGCAGGAGTGTGAATTTCTTAAAATGTAGCATCAGATTGATTGTTTAATTCATAGTCAGATGAAGGGCTTCCAGGAAGTTCATGGAGAATGTAACTGAAAGGATTGAGCTTATTTTGGTGTAGAAAGTTTTGAAATGCACACATATAAGGGTCCTTAAAAGGCTCATGGGAAATGTGGATTATGAGAAAGCCATGCATGCAGTTCACAATTTTTGGCACCAAAATGAACTCACCTTTGCAGTCTACTTTCTGTGGACTTTTTGCTATACCCTGGTACTTGTCACACTTAAGTTAGAGTGTCATTTCATAACTTTCTTTCTCCCATCCCTAACTTTCTCACTTTTACGGAACTTTTCAATTCAAGTTTTCTACATGATTCCTCTTTCTTGCTCTGGTTGAAAAAAAAAAAGTGTAAATTTTATTGTTATAGTTTTGGGTTTTTAAGAATGTCTTAGCTAGCCAACAGGCACTTTTAGGGAAAAATTCAACTGGGATAAAAAAATTTAACTTGATTACTAATGGATCATATACTAGATTACTAATATATGACATGTTATTAATTTTACTAAATGTATTGAGATTGGCAGCAACATGGTCATAATTAAAAGTACTGGATCATTTTTTGTGTGCCAGGAATGTTTTAATTATATTTATTATTTTGCCTAAATGTGTAATTGCAATATAGGAAAATAGCAAAATTATTCATCTTCATTAGATTTAAGCCATATTTGCCTATTGTTAATGGAAATATTCCAATTAGAAAGAAATTGGCTGAGTGGAACTATGAATAAAAACATATTTAAAGGAATTGCATGAGTATACTTCATGGGTGATTTTAAATGACTGCAAGTGCATTTCAAGTGCATGGCTACAGAACATTGAGAACATTATGCACACAGCCAATTCTATGTGGTCATTCGTAACCTAATTTAACATTATCTTCATTTTGGCAGATATAATATAGCATGTCTGATAATGTTCATCTTTTCCTTTCCTCCTTTATGGCACTCATTTCATTTTGGCTCAAAGGAATGCACTAAATCTCAGGTATTGTAATCTGTGTGTGGTCTCCTACACTAACCCAAGTTTACTTGTGAATTTGCATTGTAACTAATGAGTTTATAATTTTGATGTGTTTTGCTTGGTCTTGTACTTTTGTATTTTGTCCTGACTGAGTAAAAGCTTTTAAGATGTTGAGACTATCGGTGATGTGTGTGGTGGCATAGGCTGCTTTATTTATTCAGAGCTAGGAGTGGATTGTCCACCTTCTTTGAAGAAATACAAGTGTAACCCACTTGTTTTTAAGATTGAATGGGTCACTGTTCTGTACTAACCTGCTTTGCAGATGAAGACACAGTGAGGTTTTATTGCTTTTTGTGTGAAAGCTTATAGGAAATTCATTAGAAATTTACATTTAAATGCCACAGATGAAAACTTTCCAGAAATCCAATGTGAAAGCATTTGGGGAGGGTGCTGTTAAAATTTTAAACAGATAGAAAAGGGATTTCGTCAAAAAAGGAAATGAGAGTTTTAAGTCTCTTGTATTTTCTTATTTGCACTTTATTTTTAACCAGATTTCATGTTTTTATTCCATTCTACATTTTAATCAAGAGGCCTATTATAACATCCTTGCTCACTTCTTTCATTCTAATAAGTGACCAGTTGGTAAATTTCATTATTAATCTTTTGAAATTGTGCATCAAATTGGGGATTGTTACTGAGGAATCTGGAGTTAAGGAAGAGAAATTCTTTGATGTCTGGAAACCAATTGGTTAAGTAACTAGGAGCGTTTTATGGTTTTTGTTTTATAATTATAGATTTTTAAAAGTGTGAATGATTTAATTCATGTCATACAGAGTCTACCATGATTATCTTTGGCTATTATCGTAAGCTTTCCTAAAAGCATGATCTATTTTTAATTTTTCAGATTAAAATGTTATATGCAAGAGAATACATATTGACATGCCACAGGGGCATGGCTGCTGTATTATTTTTAGACACATTGGTAATTCTTAAATGATGTGATGAATCTAAAAACTTTTAACTAATTTTTAAAGTTTATAATTTTACAATTTATAGATTGCATTACAATCTTAATTACATCAGTGTTTTGAAATTTTATATGGGAAGAATATACTTTGAACTATATAAACTTAATATTTTAAAAGAGAAATAATTACATAATTGATCGCTCTCTTTTTGCATGGAGAATTGCCCATCTAATTCTCATTTAGAACTTGGTATTGAATTTGAAATGTGAACTGGGCTACGTATAAACGTTATCTACACTTTGAAAAACTAGGTATGTTGTTGTGGTTTAAAACAGATCATAGTGATTTTCTTCAAAAACATGAATGCCAATGCAGTCCATGTATAGTTTTCAGTCATTTTTCTTCAAGACGAGCATGTGGAGTGTGCAGAAAGAACAAACATTTTGAAATGCAGTGAGAAGGGAAGGTTGGAGATTGCTTTTATTATCATTTTCTTACATGTTGAAGGATTAAGGTTGTGATTAAGACTGCCAGAGGAAAGAGATGCGGCCCTAAGTCTTCAGTGTTAGAGCGAGCGGTAGGAGTTCAGGTCCAGACAGGCTGCGAGGTCTGGAGTCAGCTGGGATGCTGGATAGGCAGCAGTGTGCGTTTTCTGCAGGTTCACAGTACAGTATGACAAGGAAAGCTTTGTTTATCTGTAATTTCGGACCGTCTTTGCATACGCGGTAATTTCTAGCAGTTTGCATGGGAAGGGACATCTGAGTTCCACAGTAAAAGTGGAGAGGAGAGGTTGCAGGGACAGGAGGGGAGAGTGGCACATCTTAACCTTTACCTGATGAAGTGACATGGGAAGCGAGTGCAAACCTCTTCTGGCATCTTTTATTTTAATGGGGAAAACAACTCTTCGCTCTTCCTGGTGTGGAAAGAGCGAAAATTGTACAGAGAGATAACAGAGTGAAGACTGACAAAACTTATCTTATGGAGGTTATGTGGACCAACTTTCCAACCTTCCAGCCTACCTGCAAAATTAAAAATGCTGTCTTATGCTTTGAAGTTCATATTGACTCTCCACCCCTAACCCTACTTGCCAAAAAAGATAAGACTCCACTTTATACAAATTTGAAATGGGAAGGGTTGAATACACTCATTAAAGTTCAAGTAGTGCAGAATTTTTGAAATAATAACAACACTTGGTCATATAAAAAGATACCTCACATGCATTTTATGTATGTATTTATTTTAATTTATTTGAAAGGCAGCATTATAGAGAGAAAGGGAGGGAGAGACAGAGGAAGTGTTCTTCCATCTGCTGGTTGACTCCCCAAATGGCTGCAACAGCCAGGGCTGGGCCAGGCCGAAGTCAGGAGCCAGGAGCTTCTTCTGGGTCTCTTACATGGGTGGCAGGGGCCCAAGGACTTGGCCTATCCTCTGCTGCTTTCCCAGGTACTTCGGCTGGGAGCTGGATTCGAAGTAGAGCAGCCAGGACTCAAACCATCCACTGCCCATATGGGATTCCGGCACTGCAAAAGGTGGCTTAACCCACTACGACATAGCACCATCCCCTCTTGCATGTATTTTATTAGTAACCCTTTTGCTTTTTCTACAGTGTAAAAATATATTTCAGAGTACCATTGAATAGCTACGTATTGGGTTTTTCAGTTGATTAGATCTGAGGTTCTTGGTGGAGCTATACAAAAATAATAGAAAATACTACATAAAAATAATCCCAGTTGGATAAAATATCATATAAGATTATAAAATTTTTTAATTTTAATCATCAGTGTCTATAAAATGTGATGTTGATTTAATAAGACCAGTTCTTGTATGAGGCTTTTGAAAACCAGTCCCGGCTGGCGCCGCGGCTCACTAGGCTAATCCTCCGCCTAGCAGCGCCGGCACACCGGGTTCTAGTCCCGGTCGGGGCGCCGGATTCTGTCCCGGTTGCCCCTCTTCCAGGCCAGCTCTCTGCTGTGGCCAGGGAGTGCAGTGGAGGATGGCCCAGGTGCTTGGGCCCTGCACCCCATGGGAGACCAGGAAAAGCTCCTGGCTCCTGCCATCGGATCAGCGCGGTGCGCTGGCTGCGGTGCACTGGCTGCAACGCGCTGGCCGCGGCAGCCATTGGAGGGTGAACCAACGGCAAAGGAAGACCTTTCTCTCTGTCTCTCTCTCTCACTATCCACTCTGCCTGTCAAAAAAACAAACAAACAAACAAACAAAAAAAAACAGTCCCATTTTTAAAAATTAGGTTAACCTTCATAATGATATAAGACAGGTCCTATTTCTTATGATAGATATATAAGATAAAACTGTTCCTAGGATATATCTTATGTCTCTGAAGTAGCTTGTCTCTCCCCCTCCCCTCCTCCCCAAGACAGACTTGATTCTGGTTGGTTTCTTCTTCAGTTAAGAATTTCTTGGTAGGTTTGGTTAGTTTCAAAAATTGCTTTTGAAACAGATGAAAAAATTACAGTATTTAATCTGTGTGATTATGCACATTAATTTGACATTAAAGTTATTGGCTGGAATTCAGTGGAGATAGGCAACATTTTCCCTCATGCCATGCCTTTGCTTGGCCACTTAGTGTTTTCTGTAATTTTTGAGTCTGGTCTCATTAATTTAATTCCATATTTGCCTCTTAACAGTAAGAGGATGTTTTGAGTAATATATCAGTTACTTGTATATTTGGTAAATTTTCTAGAATATTAATGACTTCATATTTTACTTTCAGTTCATATCATATCCTGTCTATATCAATTCTTATAATATTTTTAAAGTCTTTTATGCAAATGAGAAATTATTGAAATACAGGGAAAGTGCCTTGGTTATTTTAATGTGTTGATTCTTTTCCAATCTAAAGTCAGCAATAGACTTTAGCTTAATAGAACCTAAGTCTTTGTTTTCACTAGTGTCACTAGTATCTCTCTGAATTCGAATAGGATAGTTTCAGAGAATATAAATATTTTATTTCTTGTATCATAAAGAGATTAGCTCAATATTTTCAATCATTTAGCAATTTTTTTTTTTTTTGGACAGGTAGAGTGGACAGTGAGAGAGAGAGACAGAGAGAGAAAGGTCTTCCTTTGCCGTTGGTTCACCCTCCAATGGCCGCCTCGGCCGGTGCGCTGCGGCCGGCGCACCGCGCTGATCCGAAGGCAGGAGCCAGGTACTTATCCTGGTCTCCCGTGGGGTGCAGGGCCCAAGCACTTGGGCCATCCTCCACTGCACTCCCTGGCCACAGCAGAGAGCTGACCTGTGCCCCGACCTGGACTAGAACCCGGTGTGCCGGCGCTGCAAGGCGGAGGATTAGCCTAGTGAGCCGGGGCGCCAGCCAGCAATTTTTTTTTTTTTTTAAGATATATTTATTTGAAAGGCAGAGTTACATAGAGGCAGAGAGAGAAAGAGAAGTCTTCCATCTGCCAGTTCAATCCCCAAATGGCCGCAATGGCCAGAGCCGAGCCAATCCAAAGCCTGGAAACAGGAGCTTCTTCAGGGTCTTCCATGCGAGTGCAAGGGCCCAAGGACGCGGGCCATCTTCCACTGCTTTCCCAGGCCATAGCATACAGCTGGATTGGAAATGGAGCAGCCTGGGCTTGAACTGGCACCCAAATGGGATGCCAGCATGGCAGATGGCAGCTTTACTCGCCATGCCACAGTGCTAGCCCCAGCAAATATTTTTTGAGTGTCCAGAAAGTTTTAGATTTGTGCCATATTTTAGGAATATAAAGATCTGTAAGGCAGGCAGAATCTTGGTGTCATGACCTTATAGCCCTCACAGAGGGTCTGTCCCCACCCCCCGCATATATAAATAGACAGACAGCTACCATGTAGGGAGGTACAGGTACTGTGGCGATGTATACACAAAGCGCCCTAAGAATCAGAGAGGGCTTCCTGAATGATGTATTGGCTCAAAGAAAAATAATGTGTGCCCAAAGCACCTGTTTTTTCAAAGAGGAGAGTAACATGCTTGGAATATGTGGAAGTCATGTTGAAAGGTGAACTGTTTCATTAGGGCTGTAACTAACACCAGGGAGCTGAAGCCAGGATGAGACATGCTGG